CTGGACGTGTTCTTGCATACTCTTCTTTATTCTTTAATCTTACACGTGATTCGTTTAAGCGATCGTAAATCAAAGAAACATTGAGGTCATTTCATGCCCCTATTCACAAGCCTCATATCAGGGCAGACCATGGTTTCTCAAGGATGTTTGTGACAAAAGAGGGAAAGGCATTGACTAAACCCAAGAAGGAACCTAAAACCGGAACATGGGCATTATTTTTGCTAATTGTGTTCAGCAACTTCGATTGTGTCAATGTAGATGTACGCATAGACACTCACACACGCATAGGTATAAATATGCTAGACATTTCTACATTGAAACAGGATTGCAAGACTGGGTCTTTTGAGTTTGCAACAAGCACTGCCACCAGCCTGCTTAGAGAACCTAACATCACCTGCTCTGACTTGAACTGACGGGACTTGTGACGGTTTGATGTCAAGGTGACTATCTTCAAAGGGCTTGTCCAAACTAAGAAACACAACGGGCGGCACCTGCTGAAATTGGGTTTGTCTAAACATGGGGGATATATAATGATATATATATATATGTATATATATATAATATATACACCAATTCATGCCAGTTTCAATAGGGAAACCATTTCCACAACCATGGGATAACATCAAAGACATGTTGGAATCCTTGTGAATCACGGGAAGTCTCAAAAACGGTCAGTAGAACCCCAGCACCTCAGCAGTTGGCCCTGGAGAGCCCATGATCAGCGCACCAACGACCTCCATGGCGGATTGGTCCAAAGGTTGCATTGAGAATTAGTTCCCCCGAAATAAACATCTCTCAATACAACGCACCGATATTTGTATGTATATATATAATATCATATAATATCATATAATATCATATAATATCATATAATATCATATAATATCATAATATATATATAATATCATATAATATCATATATGATATATATATATATAATACATATATATGTATATAATACACATATATGTATATATATATATATAAACATGTATATCCAATCACTTTTATCTGGAAGAGCACCGTTGCTAATCATCTCTTGTTTTGCAAGGGCCGGAGCCGCAACGGGCGGTGAGCCGGGCCTTACCCTCACGTTGCCAGATGGCTCCAATGGACCTGGGATTTCTTTGGGGGATTTCGGGCAGTGAAAACACCAAAATCGCCAGGAGATACCCTCCAGTAACTTAACATAGACCCTGCCAGATAGGGGGTGGAAGACTAGTTTGCACTATAAACTGGTCATTTTCAGGGTCGAACTGTTAATTTACTGGAGGGTAAATTCAATAAATGCCATAAACTTATTATGGGACAAACAGGAACATTATTAAACACCAAAATCCCATAGAAAGATTGTCCCAACCAACCCCCATTTGACCATATTTTACCCGTATCCAGAAGTCTGATGAAGTCTGCATGTTCCATTTCCTGGCTCATCCTCGCGTAGTTTTGAGTCACCATTAGAAACAGGGGAGAAAGAACTTTCAACGTATGTTCCTGCAGATCTATTGCTCGAGGTCTATAATCCTGTATCTATCTTTCTCATGCAACTATATCTCATTTTCATCATGTTTCTATATGCATGTCAATGTACTTATCAATACTTCCTATTTTCATCAGCGGCAATCCATCGTATCAAGTTTTAATTGATACATGATAATGGCTTATCATCTGCCATTTCCATGCCATTTCTCTGGAAACCAGTTGAATCTTGGAAAGGGAAGTGGTTCCAGGGCAATTTTTGGCAGATGGTTTCTATGGGAGGTCTGTCATGCCACCAGCTGTCACACTGTCTGAATTGAATAAACACCCATTCTCATCCACTTACCAGCTATTTTATCTGGTTGGTGGTTTTAACCCTCTGTAAAATATGAGTTCTTCCCAATATATGGAAAGTCAAAAAATTCATGTTCCAAACCACCAACCAGTTATGCAGTATTTTCATGTGAACATCAGGGTCTTAGGGGTCTTAGGGCATCCATAACCATTCACATCGCCCAACTTCCCAACTTCTCACCACGGCTGGGGCCCAACTTCTCACCCCGCCCTGCAACTTGGCAGTTCTCGGACCTGCGGGGGCAGAAATAAGGAGATACCGGAGATACCCCAGAAATCTCACGGGATCCAATGGGAGTTGATTAGGATGTGAGATACTTTTTTGGGTTAGGACTACGTATGTTTTTCTGGAGATGTGGCATAGAATGGGATGTGATAGCCAACTTGATATGATATGGGTTTGTCCCGAAATTGGGTACACGGATACCCTATCTTATGGCACTCTGAATGGGGAAAATAATTCTGAACAATGGGATTTTAGTTACCCTCCAAGTCCTTTATGGTTTTAGATCATGATGGCTGTACCGGGTAGAAGCGCAAGTCATCAGCAACCAAAGGTCAATTCAGACTTTGGAATTGATCGGAGCAAATTGCAAGGGTCCATTGAACAAAGCCATCGAACTCATGCATTTTGCTTGGCAAAAAAAACAACATATGCAACATATGACCAATTTGGCTCGCCATCACTTCTCCTTGTGGTCCTTGGTAATGAGGTTGCATTCCATTTTACCAAGGCATCGCTAGAAATTCATGGCCCTGAATCCATGAGAGATAGCGTCGCCAAATACATGGCTGGTAAAACATGGCTTCAGAAATCCGCAGAAATGGCTGGAGGTCTTCATTCCTAATGCGAAAATCATCTATAGATGGATCATTTTCCATAGCTATACAGTATTAGATTGCCAGAGAGTATCCGGTGCAACCGACTTCTACAGTATCTCTTTTGGGACCGGTATAATCTTGGCTAACGATACCATGATTTACTCTGTTTGTAAGAGATTCTCAGAAGTACATCACCGCCACTTGTTAAAACCATTCACTCCCTTCACAAGACAGTGTACTCAGTCATCTTTATTTTATCATCTTGGACATGCTGTTGCTCTTGCAGACTCTTGCACTGCTGTGCTTTTTTCCCCGTCCGTCTCTGCATCCGGTTACCCGCTTTGTGTAACCTCTGCCGAGCACGTCACTTAGTGAGGTACAGCGAGAAGGGAAACGTGGCCCCATCGGGGAGTATCCCGGCATTGGAGGCAGCCACTGTTTGTCCAAGACCAACAGGTGGAACCCACATCTTCCGAGAGAATGGCTGAAGAAATAGACATAATATATATATATGATTATATATGTATTTAAATATAATAAAAAGTATTATAAAACAAATATATATATATTATAATATATATATATTATATTTAATATCATATATATATATAATATTGTATATACTGTACATGTATTGTATGCAGATTCCTGAAAAAATAGTTCGTGGATCTTGCTGCAATCATCACCAAAGGACCTCCTGAATGGCTTTCCACTTCCCATCATTTCTAATCAACTATTTGCCACATGAAATTACCAGTGTGTACCAAGTGAAGTCCAAACTGTTGCTGGTAAAATTCATATCTTTGTTGACTAAATCCTCATCCCCATGTCACGTGAAAAATACCATTGGTCTTGGATTGAAACAACAGCACACCCTGCCGGGTCTTCAACGAATCGATTCTGACCTTTTCGTCAGAGCTTCCGCTGGCGGCATCAAAACGTGTCACGAGCGGCGCATCAATGGACCATTGCAGGTATAGCTGCCATTGATCAATTCCTCTGAGGATCTGAAAAAGGCAACAAAACTGTCCAAGGCTTTGCAGCGCAGCTATAGACCTCCTAACTTTCGCATGATCTGCTGCTGAGCAAGTTTCACCTCGTCGCGCATTTCCTGAGCTGGTGGGCTTTCTGAGTGATTGGTGTCACGCTTGGTAAATGTACAATGATTGTATGCCATATACATGGTTTTGCAATAGATGTTATGTGTATATAGGTATTGGCTATATTTGAATGTGTATTTCAATATATTTCATATTCATATGTACATATAATATTTTGTGTGTATGTATCCGTATGTGTATCGTGTATGTGTATCATATTTTGTCAAATATTTTGAGCCGCAGAGCTGCACTTAAGCCGCTTTACAGGGTGTGATTCCCCTCAATGGTCAAGAATTGACCGGCAGAAAGCCTCCATACTTGCATTTCCAAATGCCTCACGTCACCCTCAAAACCCACTTTCTAGGGGTTCCACCTTGGTTTCAAAGGATCTTTTTTCCACCAAAAATATACGGCAAATTTTCAAGTTCGGGGTCGTACATTATGTGTTGGTGCTTAAATACCACTACCCAGAAAACTGGTTGGTTTTTGCACCGCCAACATACGGACGTTTCTTGAAATCGGGGTACCCTAAATCAGTTCAGTTCTTCGACCAATTTAGTGAAACAAAAACCATACACATATGGCGATGGGCTAAACTTGTTGCATCATATTCGGGCGGTATGAACATCCATACATCCCGCTATTTTGATGTGAACAAAAGGGCACCAGGGTTTCGACCCATACCCAAATAAGAATCAAACAGCATCAAATAGTTGTGGTTGATTACAATGCCCATGATATCCCCCTAAATCACCACTAAATCTCGTTTCTGTTGATGGTTAAATACCATTAAATACAATCTGCCTCAACATCAGTGAAATGATATTTCCCTACACCCAAAAAATCCCCAACGCATGAATATATCTCTCAAGAAATCACACGTATCAAGAATATCCCCAACCATTAGTGATATATATATACTGGTTGGTGGTTGACCTACCCCTCTGAAAAATGATGGACTTCGTCAGTTGGGATTATATCTTATTCCCAACTGAATGGAAAGTCATAATCCAGCCATGTTCCAGTCACCACCAACCAGTCCCATTGTTGGTTTGTAAACCATTATAAATTATAATCCCCATTTTCATTATAGTTATATCTACCATATAAACCATAGTTAATCAATGGTTCCAGTCACCACCAACCAGTCATTATTACTATATAAATCACCATTTTCCCATGGTTTTCCCATGGTTTTCCCATGGTTTTCCCATGGTTTTCCCAACCACCAAACCACCAACCAGATTAAGTGATCCGTCGAGTCGCCAGGATCAGTTCCTGCAGGGATTGGATGGCCAAGCTGGTGGCCACCACGTCGCTCTTCTTGAGCTCCCCGCGCACCTTCAGCAAGCCTGTCACGAGCCGCAAGGAAGCTTCAGGATTTATATATATATTAACATTACTGTATATATATAACATTATATATATAATATTAATTAATATTATATCATATGTACATTTCAACATGTACATATCTATGAAAATATCTGATTATATCCATGTATCTACATGTGTATATTACCTGTGCTGGACGGCTGCAAACGCGGCGTTTTTAGATGGGATTCCCAGCGTTGTGGCAACCGATGCCAAGACCCTGGTATGGGTATATGGGGGTTTCCATAAATGGGAAATGATTGGATTGGTTTAAGGGAATTTTTACAGGAAACCATAGATTTTCCCATTAAATATGGGGCTTTCCTGTAATTTTTCCCTTAAACCAATCCATTGAGGAAAACTCTAAAATGGATGGTTTATATATGGAAAAAACCAACTGAAACTATGAATAGGTGATTTGGGGGTACCTCCATTTCAGGAAACGTCCATATAACATCTAGTAATCTCCTCCGTGGCGTTCTGTGAACCGAGTCCAACTTTGATCATGTTCCAGCTCTGTGAGGCGCCACACATTGAGATAAGGCGCAATGTAAACCCACTGGGGTCGTCTAACTCACTTATTTCAAACACTTACTTAGTTGGGATAAACATCCATGGCAACCCCCAAAAAATATTGAACAGGTTTTAAAAAATCGTTGTTTCAGGATTGTCCTTTCTTTCTCGGCCTCTTTTTGGCTGCTATAAATGTGTACTTGAAACATGATTCCCAACCAGTGAACGATTTCCCAACGCGGTGTCTTGCTGCCCGTTGTGCCTTGTACGAGCTCAGAGACCTTGAGAGTGCCACTGCCATCAGCGTCAATAACCTGTGTGGAAATCCATGTTCTCTCTCCTGGAAATGATCTACTCTTACGCTGGATTTTCATGTTTTTTTTCATGGATTTTCATATCTATCTTAGTGCACAATGGAGCATTAACGCGGCTCGCGGATCTCCTGATTGATGTTTGAAAACTGGTTAGCAAGTATGTATCCCCATTCCTAAGAAACAAATTGAAGTACTAGACTACCCAAAGTTTGCCAAATTTTCTCAGTTAAGCCATTGTGTATCTTTACCGAAAAAAAACACATGACAAGTCAATCTGGGATATCTGGGATCCCCTGGGCCTGAAATTTTACTGGTCTTCAATCCTACGATTTTGTTTCTCTTGAGAAGCCACACTTGTAGGTTCAAATATTTTCAACTACAGTAAGGTTCTTATTTCGCAGCGAAGTTCTCATATTTGAGATGAACTGTTTTTTTTCAGATGAATTTCGGTTCGAACACGACAATTCTCAGGGAAATCGCATCAAAATCAACCATTTCCAAGCCGATTTCACCTATTTCCTACCAATTTCACCATTTTCCAACCAACCTCACCATCTTAAACATTCTTTCAATCCTTGGTCATTGGTCCAACCTGAAAAAAAACTCATCATTCCGTCGTCAAAGCACTAGGTCCAAGGATGTCCGAGGTTAATAATAATCATCCAGAGCTAAGCGGACTTAGACAAACCTAAACATTCTTTTCAGAAAACAATTTACAAAACCCATCAAAACCCCGGTATTTCACGCAAAAATCATCAAAAGTTTCCATGGTTTCCGGTTCTCAGATTTTCCCAACGAATCCGAACCATGTTTGCGCCTCAAAGAGGTTGGCGCGATCCGGTGGTAGGTCGAGGTCGTCCATCAGCGACTGAGACCGCAGAGGGCTACGGATGGCTATATTATAAGATTGGATATTTAAATACGGTGAATACATACATATATCATATATGTCATATCATATATATATATGATATATATATATATATGGTATATGATCTAAATATATATACATACATACATACTGTGAATCGCTCCACACTGGTAGAAAATCCCCTTCACCAGCTCCAGCGCACTCGCAAACGTTTTCACAAGCAGCCAAGATGGTAAATGTTGTCAGGCTTCCAAGCAGAAAGACCAAAGGCACTGATGCCACCGATAAATGCTGTCCTCAGCAAACCAGAAAGGATTGGCCTCAATCCTATGGCTTCAAGCGCTTCCTCAGCCCTCCCACCACGAGCTGCCAGTCAGCCAAAGCGGCTGAGGATTTCCACGTCTGGAGTTGGACCCTCATGGAACATGTATGAAAGGCTGTGCACATGTGACAAGAAAGCAAGAACATGACTGGGATCATTTGTTCATTCACACTCGTAAAAACAAGAATTTTCTACTCTTCTTGTTGATCTTTGCTTTCTCCACTTGTGGTAGCTTGGAGCCACTTCACCCTGGTTCTGTTACATGCCCTTTCTTTGAGGATCTCAGTCTCGTCATGTAAGGAGTATTTGCCACATTGGAGGGTCTGACGGAGAAAATGACATTGCATAATTTTGGTTAATGCATCTGCCAGCTGTGCTCCCGTGTGAACCCATCTAAGCCTTACCCCTTCAGCCAGCAAGTCTTTAATGGCTCTTGCCTGTAGTTGTGTACGAAATTCCTGGCAACTGGGTGGAGCAGTCCGAGTGACCAAATCAAACAATGATTTACAATCGGTGACTGCTATTGAGGGGTCTTCTTTGAACGTGGCTGTCGCAAAAGTTTCTGGAAGTTTATTGAGTGTGGTGGTTGCATTCTTCCAATCTGTCTTGGGATTCCGTATCCAGCTCCAAAAAAGTCTCAACCATGACAGCTGGTCCAAAGTTGTGCTCAAGGACGTGGTCTCTGCTGACAGCGTGCTGGTGACAACTCTTTGAATTTTCTTACAGTCCCAACTGATTGGATTTACTGGACATACATGGTTCTTTCCTATGTCCGCATGAGTGGTCATGATAATTGTTCCTGTGTGTGACTCTGGTTGTTTCTTGGAAGCGAATGATGCGTCAGAGAAAGCAAGGAACCGTATCTGGTCCATGGGAATCGGTTGAATTCTGACATGCGTATCCTTGTATTTCTTGGCTTCATGAAGAATTCTGTTTCCCTGGATGAGAGTCTCCACGGTCGCTTTGTTCACTTCGCTCTGCAGAAAACTTAAGCGGCTTGACAGGTCTGGTCTCGTGTTCACGGATGCATACTGGAGTGATCCTATCAGTGCTCTTAAGTCCTGTCTCTCTCTCTCTGTGACTGGAAGGTTTTCTTGTATTTTTCGTTGTGGTTGGATGTGAATTGGATTGATTTTGGAAACGTACTTTTCTTGTGACATGACAATTGAGTAGTCGTTTTGTTGGTGCATTTCTATTCCCGTAAAGACAAATGACTGCGTTTTACGCGACCCAAATGGGAATTTGGCCTCAAGCCTTTTGACCATTTCGTGAAAGTATTGGTTTCCTCCGCAAAGGCCGTCATCCACGTGTACCCCCAAGATACCCGCTGGCTCATCTTTTCCTTCTTCATATAGTAGGTATAAGCAAGGATCAAATGGAGATGGTATGAAATTCAGGGATCTCAATTGCTGGTCCAGTTCTGTATACCATAAGAAAGGAGCATCAATTAAACCATACGCTGATTTCACTAGTCTACAAACTTCACTTGGTTTGAGGTTCATCGCTTTCACCATTTCAGGGACGGGTTCAACAGCTATCAGTCTGTCTTCCTGTGTTTTGCCTTGTAGAAACGCTGCCTTAATGTCGAATGACATGAGTGTCCATCGCATGGATGCAATGACCTGTGCAATCAACATCTTTGAGGTTCGTCCTAGTGTCGGGCTATCTCTGGGGATAGTTTCTAGTTGTGGGTCCATGTAGCCCAAAACTACTAACCTCGCTTTTGCCTTTCTTGACTTTCCATTATTTTCTTTGATTTCCTTGGGGTCTTCTAGAGGTTTCCAAACATACAACCATCGACACCTGAGGATCTGTTTTGGAGAAATCTGATGACGAAAAATTTTTGCTACTGTTCCTGTCTGTAGCCAGTTGTTCACTTCCTTATTTTTCGCATTTTCAAACTCCTGTCGTTCCGCAGGATCTAGAGTGCTAAGTTTGACTTCTGTTCTCTGTCTTTTTGTAGTGGTCGCAAGGAAAAGGAAAGCTTCTTCGCGATTTTGATTTTGGCTTTGCATGGCATTTGTCAGCTGTTCGGGACTGATTTCCAGTTCTGTTCGCCAGAAAAGGTCTTGTCCATCTGGTCCAATTTCTGTTTCCACATCATGGCACGTTAGGAGGTCACAGACTAGCTCATCGGCAGTATCATCAGGGATTGGAATTTCATGAGGTTGTCTAGTGTCTAGTTCTGGGATGGTGGTGTCGTTTTCAGTCTCTCTTGGTGTTTCGGCATTTTCAGGCTCTTGGTCAGGTTGATCTGCTGAGCTCTGACTTGGGGTTCTTTGAGGTGGACTATTGGTATCGTTAGGGATTATTCCACTGGGATTAGTGGGTACTGGGTTATTGTTTGTGATGGGATTGTTATTGGGGTTGCTGCTTTCTGGGATGATTGGTTCAGTGGCATTTCTGTCCATGGTTAGGATATCACGGTGTTCACTTCTCGGCCCGTTGTCACCGGCAATTTGATCCAGGGGGATCAGGCGAGCTTCTACGGCGCTGACAGGTCTGACATGCTCGGGTGCTGCTTTGAGGATGGATCCCATATTGTTGCAAAACACTGCGTTGGAACCATCCTGTTGGATGACTTTTGCGGGGCCATACCAGGATCCTTGGTTGGAAACCACTTTCCACACCATGACCCACTCTCCAGCTTCATACGAACCCCTGTGTGGTCTCTCACGACGTAAGGCGGCCCTGCGAAGAGACATGTCATTATCAGCTGAGTGAAAAGCTCGGCGAGCTGTTTCTCGGCGAGCTAACATCTCCCGGAAACGTAAGCCCTCGGACGTCTCCTCACATGCTTTGGCATGTGTGGGTAGTTCATCATCGCCAGTTAGTGAGCCTGGAATTCTGGCGCTTTTTCCAAACACTAGTCACTAGCATTTCTGGGGAATACCCCTGTCGGATTCCGCATGTGTTTTTTGCTGTCGTGCACTGTGCTAATGCTTGCTGCAACTGTGAGTAGTTGGTGATTTCGTGTTCTAGTTCATACTTACTCAACATGTTTTGGAGCACTCCTCCATGTCTCTCTATGCCCCATCTGCCAGTGCGCATTTGGAGGGACAACCGTGACTTTGATCCCCAGGCCTTGCAGAAAGCTTTCAAACGATTTGGAGACAAACTCTGTCGCTGAGTCTAAAATCACTTCATTTGGAGTACCAGCCCAACTAAGCCATCCTTGAGTGAAGCGGTCCTGAATCTCTGCACGATTCGGAGCGACAACAGCAGAATGATAGTTGGTGCCATGGTCTATGAAGTGGTAAAAATGGTATTCTCGACCATCTTTGTTGGTCCACTTCACTCCATCTAAAGATATCTTGTCTCCAAATTCTAAGGCTTCCTTCAGGGTTGCCGGTCGCTGCAGTTTGGGCTTTTGTGTCATCTGACACACGGAACACTTCAGATCCAGAACTCCCTGAGACAGTTCAGTGCTGTAACCCCTCTGTTTAAGTACCTGACTTAATTTTTGGGGGTCTGGATGGCCTAGGTTCTTATGTAGCCTTAATGCTATCTTCTTATTTTCGGGTGACATGGTTAAGAACCGGGGACCATGGTTGGAACTGTTCAGATCGACTTGGCTTGGCTCGCAACTCTCGGATGCTGTTTCTTGGGATTCTAATCTGGCTGGACTTGGCATCGGATGCATTGGTTCAGGCATTGCAACATCTACGGATGACCCATCCAAGGTCGCAGATTGGCTCGGTCCAGCTGGTTCCACTTCCTGAATTACTAGCTTGGCAGAGCTTGCTACTTCAGCATTGGGATTGCAGGCAAAGACTGTTATATTTAGGTAGCTTGGATGCGATCTCCTCCACTGCTGCCTAAATGACAAATCTTCCCATTCCTCCCATTGATCTTCAACCAGTACATTTCGGGTGTTTCTCTGCATGATTACCGCACGGCGGTACGGGGCTTCTCCTCGCATGAGATCTTTTGGTGGTACTAACGTTCTTTCAGTCCCCTTACATGCAATTATTCTTTGTACTTGTTTATCCCCAAACATTTCTTGCAACATGGGTTTTACTTGAGGGTCATTGATCTCTTTGCGTCCAACCTTCGGCATGATCTCAAGTACCCTGTTGCAAACTTGTTCACACAACACTTTTGGGGTATCATCACTTTGGGTCTTTCCAGAAAGTCTCCTACGTTTGTACGGCAACATTTCTGGGTTGATCAAGACACTTTTGATGCTACCCTCTTTCAGTTTTGCTCGTTTGGCACTTTGGACACCGGCAGAAACGGATCTTCTCTTGGCTCCTGAGCTTGCAAACGAAGGTTCATGCTCGGCAACATGCAGTGGTGCTTCCTTAATCATCTTGACTTTGGTAAGCACTTGGGCCAACGTTCGGGCAAACTTTCGGGTGTAATTCTCAGAAAATTCAGTTCTTCTCATGCGGTGACCTTTGAACATTGTTTCTCCCTCAAGTGTTTGGTGTTGATGAAGGTGGTTACACTTACGACCGTGAAGTTGGCTGTATAATTGATAGGACGTGGTAAGGATTTCCATTCCCTTCTTGTACAAAAGTTGGTTGACAGGGTCACGCATGCCTCCTACTCTGCACATGTCGAATTGGGCAAGGTATGTGTTTTCCATTACTTCACGCAACATCGGAGACCTGGTCATGAGTGATCGAGCAGGTTGCTCCCAGTGCATGTGTCTGCCATTCTGTCTCTGGAAACGGAAAAGCACAATGCCCAATGCCAGTTGGTACATATGTTGCTCTCGGAGAGCTTGGATTGTCTTGAACCCTGCCTCAGTCTGCGCGGCATTCATTGCGCTCCAGGCACACCAAGGACTACATGTAGGGCTATACCAGAGACTTCGAGGTTGCCCCTCAATTAACTTGGTAAAAAGAACGGCTCGGCCGGATTCAGTTGCAAGGTCACCCTCTTGAAAACCATGCCTAACCCCTTTATACCCCAAGTTATTGACTTGCTTGGTGAGCTCACTCTGAGGTCCACAAAAGACTTCCAAGACTTGAATTGGTGTGCCTTTCTGGGAACATGATTGTGAAATTGACTTCAATTCGCTGGTAAACTGTTGAACAAGTTTATGGAATTTGTAGTGTAAGTGATTTGGTGTGTTTGTACTGAAATGGGCTTCTGCAGTTGGGTTATTTTCAAACTCGGCATCAATGTCACCAGCCTGGCACAACATCCGAAGAGCATGATTCACTTCCCCTGACGGAGATGTCCTAGGATCTCGCTGATGGCACCTTCCATGTTCAGTACTCGAGCTTGGAGTGCCTCGATCATCTCGTTGGTCTGGTCCTGTTGCAGTGCTGTGTAGTCCATGACATCCCACGGGTCGCTGGGATCCACAATCTCCTCGATCACCTCTACAGGCACTTGATGTGCCGGCATGGCCTTGCTCTTGGGCATGCATTTGGATCGAGGCAACATCACCCCTTGCAGATCTTCGGGATTCCTCAGAGGCACCATGCCATGGCTCTCCTCGTACTGATCCAACACCTTTTCCTGATAAGCCAGTACTGTCAGGTGCTCGGGCTTGGTGCTGCTGGCGTGAGTCTTGGCGAACCATTTCATCCATGACTTCTCCTGATCCCACATCTCTGCAAATGTTTTCCCGACGTGAGGGCGACCAAAGGTGATACGATGTTGGCTCATGGTTATCACAGTTATTTACCTTTGCAACAAGGTGGAGAAACTCGGTTGATGGTGGCTTGGGCTGGGAGATCTCTGTACATTCGAAACTACACTCACTGCCCTGGCTTCGGCTGGTCATGTGAACATGTCCCTGTGTACCTGGGCCTGTTGGTGTTGAAAGTGACTTCAAACTGTTACCTTGACTTTCACTGAGGCTTGGCTGACACGTTTCAGCTTGCTGGTTTTCGCTGGAAAAATCACTGCTCATGAAAGTTTCGGCCATTATTGCATCACGAGGTCCTTGCAAATCCTTCTGGGCACGAAGCAAATCTATCAGATCAAGCATGTAGAGTCCTCTGGGACTCAGCTTAAGTTTGACAACCTGGTTCAACAAAGGACTGGACAACGTGTGATGCTCGCTGTTCAAACTGGCTTTGAGAGTCCTCAGGAGTGTGTTGGACAGCAGCAGCGGTGTTTCGCCAGGCACGATTGCAATCTTGAGACCCAGACCTACAGATTTTAGGGGGATAACTAAGGCATGTTGGCTATCCAAGGTACCTTGATTTCCGAATCTGAAGGTGATGTCACATGATGTCCTGAACACCTGCTGTCTCATCTCAACTGGAAGGCCCTCAAGTAAGGCAGGTAGCAATTTGCTACCCATCACTGACTTCGACGCACCTGTGTCAAGTATGCCACAAGTGCCATACGTGGAAAAATATGCTACTGCTGGCTGCTCTCTCACGGATGCCACAAAACTGCTCTCAGGTTGCTCTGTGATTCGTTCATTCCTGGGCAGGCTTTCATTCGGGTTTTGATTATCTTCCCCTTTACCCCGTTTACCCAACTTACGGAGTCAATCCCGAATTTCCTCCATGGATGAAACAACAACATGAATTCCTTGCCAACTGGGAACATCTAGGGTTTCCTCATGCACCATCGGAAGCTGCATGAACTCCATTGGAAGCGCATCGGACTCTTCCATGGACTGGGACACTGCTGAAACGGTCATGGCTGCTGATGTATTCGTGCGTGTCCGGTCGGGACGCTCCGCACGCCAATGACCCTTCCTACCACACAATCGACAATGGCTTTCAAGGATCCTCTGTTGAAGACTTTTCTTGGAACCCTTGTTGAGATACTTCCCTTTGCCCTTTGGTGCGGACGGTTTGCCTGAACCTTTGCCTTGACCTACTGGCCAAAATCCTCTATGCTTGAAACGGTCGGAGAGTCTTCTCCTGGCATCTGCGTATGCGTTGTATGTGGCAGCAAGGTCACTGTCTCCTTGCGGCACATCTGCGGCCATCGATTCATAGTCGGCAATCAAGGCTGCATCTTCATCATCATCTTGCAGTAACTGACTTACAAACTCATCCTCGGTATATTCATCAGCTACGTATGCAGACCCATCATGTTGAAAGTCATCTTGATCTTCAGCTAGCATCACTTGGGATTCATAAATCTTGCCCTTGGAGGCCTTTTGACCAATCATCTCATTGAAAAATGAAGTACCCAGCATGCGAACAGATTGTGTGACCTTCTCCATGTTCAAAGCTCCACTTGACGATGATTCACTCTCGACAATGACACGTTTCTTATCCTCTGTGCTCAAACGAGACCCTCTGAGGACTATGTACGATTGAATTTCTTCCAACTGCACCTTCTTGGCTAGAAGTTCAGACCAAACAACGTCACAACGGGCTAGGAAAGAATCGTTGGATTCATCTTGTTTCTGAAGGCAACGGAAAAGTGCTCTCTCCACAATGTCGTACTTTTTCTCCAAATTGACTTTTCCCCACTGGCCGCCAAGGAGCTGGACCAGTAGTTGCACTCCTTTCTTGTCATTTGTCATCAACTGAGATTTGTTCAGTTGAAGTTTCTGAAAAGCAGTTCCACTTGTGTTCAAGATGAGGCGAGTGATCAACTCATTGATCTTTGCTGCAGGCCAAATCTCACTAAGCAGTTCTACCTTTTGCGTATACTGTTCTAAGTCATCCTTTGACGGATCGAATGTTGGCACCAGTGTGGCCATGTGATTCGATGAAGCAGTGTTCCCATCGGTCGAAGCTGCTGTTGCAGTTTCCTCAGACATTCAGAAAAACCACCAGATGTTATCAAAGGTCCCCTGGAGCTTTATTGGGTAGCTCCGCTACCAGTGTGAATCGCTCCACACTGGTAGAAAATCCCCTTCACCAGCTCCAGCGCACTCGCAAACGTTTTCACAAGCAGCCAAGATGGTAAATGTTGTCAGGCTTCCAAGCAGAAAGACCAAAGGCACTGACGCCACCGATAAATGCTGTCCTCAGCAAACCAGAAAGGATTGGCCTCAATCCTATGGCTTCAAGCGCTTCCTCAGCCCTCCCACCACGAGCTGCCAGTCAGCCAAAGCGGCTGAGGATTTCCACGTCTGGAGTTGGACCCTCATGGAACATGTATGAAAGGCTGTGCACATGTGACAAGAAAGCAAGAACATGACTGGGATCATTTGTTCATTCACAACATACACATATATATATAAATCATATATCATATATGATATATCAGATGTGACATATACATCTATCTGGCTCAATTGAAATGATTCACTAACATGAAAACAGGTGAAACTTGCTGCCGTTTCGGGATGATCCTAAAGCTTACCATCATTCCAGCGACGTCACAGTGAGGTCATTATGATTCAGCCAAATATGTACTATGTGGATACTTAAATATTGTATATATATATATGTGTGTTACCGTTATATATGTAAATATATATATATATACGTTATATATATAATATGCATACATGGATGGCTGCCTTTTTTGAAACAATATCCAAGAACATACTCACATGAAGAGATGAGTAAAGTATTTATCAGCAATGGACAATGGAGATGATCGATTATGGGCTTCACCAGTTTAAACAATAATCTTCAATTTTACAATTTTGTTCTGATGGACCGTTGGTTTGTTCTTTTGGGCTGAATTGTGACATAGATAGTCTCACCCAAAATAAGGGCAATATATTTTTGGTGAATTATTTTTTTTGGCCGATAAATCATGATAAATCAACTCTGTCCAAAAAAGATACATTTTGATGAAAACAGTGCACTTTTTTGGGGTATGCATTTTGGCTCATGTACCAACAAACAATTGACTTTAATGCCACTGTGTTTTCGTATCCTCCCAGATCGTTTAAATGGGCTGTGCTTCATTTTCTTTATTCCACAGGCGTTGAAAAGCTAAATCCAATACGTATTCATCAGTAATCAACAATCTATTTAAAACAATCTCAAACAATCATAGCCAACCTAATGTGGCCAAAACAATAATAAACCATCCCCCAGTCATCAGCATTTTATAGGTGGGATTCAAACTCTTCCCACACATGGGTGGTTTATGGCATTGTTTTACCCACATTAGCCATCATTAATAACCATTAATAGCCCATTAACCATCAATAGCCATTCATCATCATTAATCTCCATTAAATCCCAATTAAATCCCAATTAAATCCCCATCAAATCCCCATTAAACCTCCATTAAATACCCATTAAATCACCATTGAACCTCCATCAAATGGAGGTGATCCCAGATGCTATCGACCCATGGTCCCAGGTCCTGGACGACGGGATCTTGAATGACTAAAAGGAAGAGCTCCTGCGCAGCTCCCCGCTGAATGCTTTCCTGGAAAATCCATCAATGATCACAGGGAGTACCCCTGTGACTTAGGACACCTCTCTCTCTCTCTCTCTCGCTCGCTCGCTCTCTCTCTCTCTCTCCCTCCCTCCATATGTATATATATATTTACATATATATATATGTAAATTACTATCATTATAAATTATTATCATTCTTAATCATTATTGTATATATATATATCTTCCTCTCTTTATATAGGAATTATAGGAAATACATGGAAATATTGCATCAACATGCCATGAACATGGCATTTTGACTCAGGAAACCTATCTTTATATATATATATATATACACAGTGACAGTGTGTATATTATATATATATATACACACTGTGTATATATAATATGTACACATACTTATCTATCTATCTGTCTATCTATCCATCCATCCATCCATCCATAGGAAATATGGCATCAAAGCGCCATTTTCCATGGCATTTTGAGAGAGACAGCGTGCCCACCAGATTCAACCTGCGTCACCGGCGTCACCGCCCGCCTTGCTGATCTCCAAACGACCGTGCAGCACCTGGGAGCCGTATCTTTCGAGGTCTCTGAAAGATGGTTCTGTGCTTCATCACTGGCTACATCTGGTTCCTTAGGCCATCATTTTTTGCAGATCAAGTGAAAAGCTGGCGAGATACGTTCATTTTTCGGAACGTGAATTCCAACACTTTCCTTGCTGAATTCCCGGATTTTGGATGTTTTAAGAGCCTAAGTCCATCCAAATCCTACATTTTGATTCACTTTTGATTCACTTTTAAACAAGGATTGAGTCTTTATCACCCAAATCCCATAGATCCCAATTTGCCCCCCACCCATAGACATCGACGCAACAACGTTGCCCGAACGTTCGGACCTGATCTGTGAAGTGCGCTGAAGCAGGCGTCAGGTCCATGGTCTGGGCCTAAGTCGACTGATGCCAATTTCATCCAAGTTATTGATCAATTTTGGGGGAAATCAATGGTGAAATGGGTACCCCATAATTAGTTAATGGTTAATAAAGGATGATAAATAACCATCATTAACCATAGTTACTACCAATAACGGTTAATAACTCCCATCACTCCCATCATATGATTCAAGTCGAAGATGATTGGGGGAGACCCCTCCCAAATCATCCGAATTGGGGTCCCATGTCATGGATTGTCATGGTACAATTCTAGGAAGCACATATGGCTATGGTTCAAGTCAGTGGAGTTGGAGCTACTGTGCGGTTGATCAGTTGGGATCATCATATGGAAAAAGTGGGGTAAACCAACGGTAAGAAGCAACGTAGCAACGCCAGATTGCCTTGGGGGCCGGGAGGGTCTACAGTGTCTACAGGAGACCAGAACTTTACATGTTTCTAGCACCAAGATGTAAGGGTCTCCTGTAAATGCTCCCTGAAACCACATCACCAATCTGAATCTTAATCACAAAGTCTTCTAGAAGCGAGAAACTTCTAGAAGCTACACAATCTAGACTGAACTCATTGGCGGGTCGCCTCATAAATGATGAGTCAGATCGGTCACAGATCCGTGACGTCATTGACCCCCCAGAAAGATCATGCAGAGGTGACCCAAGGATGAGCCACACTTGGATCAATCAGCTGGCTATCGCACCAAGAAAAAACTCACAGTTGGCCCTCAGTTGAAAGTTAACAACAGACTCCCAGTTGGATCATGAAAAAATGAATGGGAGAAAAATGGAGAAGATCTGTATGAACAACGATGAATACCATCGTAAACAAACAAGCAAAACATGGGCTGGGACAAGCAGCCCAAAGCCAAATCACAGTTCTGCCTTGGAGAAAGACCTACGCTGATCCTAAGATTCGACCCTCGACCAGGGGACAGTCTCGGTGGCATCGTAGCTGCTGAAGATTTTCTCCGCAGATGCGAACTTCTTCAGCAACTCTCCTGGGAAAGATGGGAGGTTAGGAGTACCATCTGGTTATGACTAACATAGCCATGGAAAATCACCATTTTTAATAGGTAAACCATCTATAAATGGGCCATCTATACCATGGCTATGTTAGTCATAACCAGAGGGCACGATTCTTTTCTGGTCCAATCATCTTTCCCACGTCCCATTCTGCTGGATAATACTCAACCATTATGGGGCTGGCCAACCTTCAACCAGATATTCCCACTATGGTTGAATTTTGTCTTCTGCGGGGTTACAGAATGTATGGGTATAAGACAGAACCAGAATGGGAATGTTGTGCGAATATAGTGGGACTATAGCCTGACAATGAGATTATTCCTGGGGGTTAAGTTGGTGGGTATAAAACTCAAACATCATAGGAATATCATGGGAATATGGAGGGGTATAACCCAATATATTTGAATATAGTTGGTTGGGCAAAACATGGGAATAGAGTCGGAATATTTGGGGAAGATCATGGACATATATCTGGGGTATCATGTGAATTTGGGCACGGTGCAAACATGGGGTACCCTTCTGGAGCCACATGTTTGGCTCGTGGGTGTGGAATCATCCATAAAAATGATGGTAACTATCTGCAATGATTTCAGTCTTGGGGCACTAAAATGTTTCACATAAGAAAAATGGTTGGTCCATTGATCTCATCTGTTTGAATTTCTGGTATTTGGTGCAAATATAGTATTACAGACAACATATATACACATATATCATATTATATCATATCATAACATATTAAATTATATATGAGATTATATCATATTATATTAATCCTTTCCTCCTAATACTAAAAACACCTCAGGTAGTTTTTATTATTAGGGGGGTATTTATTATTAGTGAACCCTATTAATAAAATAAAACCCTGCATAATAAAAACTATATTTTCCAATCTCAAAATCAATTAAATTTCCTTATATAACGCCATTAAAATATTGCAAAAACTTGGATTTCGAAGCGGACCCTATTAATAACATTAAACCCTTAATGATAAAAACTAGTTTGTTCGATTTCAATCAAAATCAACTAAATTTCCTTATTTAACGCCATTAAAATATTGCCAAAAATCGGTTTTCCAAGCGGGCCCCAAGAATAAATTAAAAGCCCTAATATAAAAAACTAAAAAAAATCAGACGGACCCTAATAATAAACACCCTGGGGTTGACTAGTTTTTATTATCCACAAATGGTAGCTTTATTTTAAAATTGTTTTCTAAAGGGGATCAATGCAAAGTCAAATTGACCAATCTGAAATTTTCCGAAATTGGAGATGCACCCCTGTTTTTAGTATTTGGGTGACGTCTAGCAATAGGAGGAAGGGATTATATTATATTATATCATATTATACTACATTATGTTATGTTATGTTTTAGTATATTATATATCATACCATATCATATCATATTATATTCTATTCGGTTCTAGTATCTTACATTATTGTTATATATTATGTTATGTTACATTATGTTATGTTACCTTACGTTATGTTGCATTATATTATCATACTATACTATACTGATGTATATATAGAATATGATTTCAGGATGGAAGTTGGCTGGGATAACCCTGGGCTGGAACGACAAAAAAGGCATGACTGATAGCCGCTTACGGTAGGTTGAGTGTGGCACCCCCCCCGGGGGCCACCTGTGCGGGAAATGTGCCAATATGGGGGGCAACAACGCGCGGATGGTGTTGATTGCAAGATAATTCTTGCATTTCGGATCAGGGGACCCAAAACAAAAGGAGCTTGTTCCAGTTTTTTTCTGCCGGCGGGGTTTTGGTGTCGAACATTTGACTGCACTTGCTTGGTCTGGTGGGTCCTTCCCTGTTGCGAGCTTTTGTGACTCTCCCATCCTAGTTCCAGTTCGGTAGATTTGGATGCAAATCATCTTGGATGCAACTCATCTTCCTGCATGAGTGAAAGGACATGATGGTAACGGGTTCGCTCCGGGATCCCTAAAGTGGATTTGTTTGTGGATGCGGCTTTGAAGTAAGGAGGGCAAACCGACGAGAAACTCCAGTCTTGCCCTGTGGGAAACCACATCGCATTTTCCCTTTCCATATTGCTTGTCCATGTGACACCCATGGTGGATGCAAAGTGGTAAACCCACTGACCATACCTTTTTGGTGAAAAAATGTTATTCACTACCAAATGATAAACATGGGCAAATGGGAGTTTTGTTTGTTGTTGGGTGAGTTACTGAGAAGAACCTAAAATCACTGGCTTGGATCCAGAACATCTACAGAGGTGAAATTTGGGTTTGCAATTTGGGTTTGTCCATTGGTGAATCATTATTTTGCCCATTAAATTGCCATTTAGAAGGTATACCACATTTTCTGACAAACCCAAATATTAGACCGAATATATATATATATAAATAATATAATAATATATATATGTATATATATATGTATATATATATGTATATATATATATATATATGTATATATATATATGTATATATATATATGTATATATATATGTATATATATACATATGTATATATATATATGCATGCATGCATTACATTACATTACATTCCGCTACATTTACGTATATATATATATGTATATAAATATGTGGGTATATATATGTGTATATATATATATGGAGAGAGAGAGAGAGACTACAAATAGTTTTATGGGCCTCAAACCGCTCAAACCCATCATTTCAGGGAGCACCAAGGCCCCGGTGCGGCCAAAGCTCGTGTCGTGCGTGCGATGCGCAAGGACTCCCGTGCATGCTGCTCGGCGGTGGTCGCCTCACTTTCCTGTGGAGATGGCGCACCAAATGGAGAACTTGGATATTGTAGGATATTCAATGGGAACATAAAATGAAATTAACAATATTAACAATCTTAACAATGATAATAGTAACAATGATATTAACAATATGAAACACATGACCAATATGAAAAATATTATCAATGTGAACAATCTTAAGAATATTAACAAACATTAACAATATCAACAATAGTAACGCTAGAAACACAAATGATAATGGGATATAGGAGGATATTAAAATGATATAAAATGATGATATAGGATAACATAAATGGGTAACGTATAGGATAATAGTGGGATAATCATGAACATTTATGGGATAACCCAAAAGGAACGTGGCAATGTCTTAAATATAAAATTACCTTTTATAGATTATTTCCCAGCTATAATCCTCCATTTTTTTTTGGGGTTTTCTATTGCCACCTTTGATTACCGGAGAGTTGTCGAAATGGAATCAAACATGGAAATTTAACCATCAAACATGGTGGGGATATAATGGGGATATCATTGGAATACTATGATATACCCTCTGGTAATGACCAAGAGTTTGCGAGTTCTGAAGATCAACTTTCTAAGAAACGATAAATCATCGAACTAAATGGGCCATCTAAACCATAGCTATGCGAGTTTACCGGAGGCGGCCACCGATAAGCGGCCCACCTTTGCAGCACGCATGGTGATGTCCACATAGACCTCGAGGTCACCAGAATCCGCATTTCTATCTACTTCTACATAAGTACTATGCATATAAACATGCGTCTCTGTGTCCTTCTTTAATTCATGCATATTATATATATAATATATATATATATGATCAATATGTAGAGTATTGTAGAGTACGAACGTATAGAATCTCTATACATGATCAACATTTAGAATGGTCATCACATCTTCAACAGGATTTCCTTGACGGTGTGGGATATGAGAACCCTGATATTTGAAGAGAACCGAATAGTGTTCTGCGAAGCTGGCAGTACGCTGCAAAGGAGAGTGTTTACCGAAAACATGCATACGATCACCTCTCTTTCAGACCTGGAGTGGTCAAAAACTTGATTTAGATATATTTAGATATTCTTCTTTATGCAGATTCCTGAGTTTAGCATTTTAGCAATTATGATCATAAACATGTATTACAAATTGGTGAGCTGTTCTCCCCACTTCAGTATCTCAGTGGTTCTGGCATGTTCTGGCCCCTCTCTTTCAGTTGGACCGTAAGGGGGGGGGTCATTGCCCTTTTTGAACTCGGGTCTTTTCCGAGAAATATACAGAAAATATGTGTGGAGGTTTACTTCAGAGAACTCGAATTCTTGGGTGGACCACGATTTCCTCGCCAAGAGTCGGCCAGAATGACGTTGGAGATGCCTTAGGTCGCTGGAGGGCAGCTCCTGTGAGCTTTTTGTAACCAGAGGAACACTTTTGAAACCTTCGCAATCCCCCAACTTGCTGGATTTCTTTCTGTCTTTTTGAGGTTTTGACAGATCAAAAGTTCGAAAAGCATCAGGTTTCAGGTCTTTACGCCCCAAGGCGAAGCCTCCAACTTCTAAGATGATCCGCCACCCCACCAGCTTCCAGGCATGCTTGGAGTCGGAGTAAAATCACCCAGCTTCCAAGCATCAATGAACATTACATCAATCATCTCAGAAATCTTAGCTAAAACTCATAATATCCCCAACTCACAGCTTAAACATCCTGCCAAAGATTACCCCAAAGTCGCCCCTGGGGAAAACACACACACACACAAAAAGAAAACAACCTCCCAAGATTTCAACACACAAGTCACCTCCGAACAAAAAACACAAAAACAATCGGAAGATATCGGAAATCACCATCAAGAATGTCCAGCCCCATTCTCCCATTCCCCGGCCGCCCTCTCCCTTTCGCCCAAGCAACCCATGGTCACCAACATGTAGCTGACCACATAGCCCAGCACGAAGGGCGTGCCAAACTCTGTTGCCAAAATGGAGGGCAAGGGAGCGCCTGGAGCCGATAATGGAGCCACCAATGAGGATATCATAGGAATATCATGGGGTGGGTGAAATCATACCATAGCAACCCAGAAAAAATACAGTTTTTGGGCGAAAGAATATAAAAAATGGATCATAACATATCATAACCAACAAAAAAATAAGACAATGATAGCCACCTGGAAAATGCGAACGCATTTTCACAATCCCAGGTGTGATGGAAATTCACATGGTATTTCAGACCAAGCAGTAAACCAGGCTTTTCGTTCGGGGCTACAGGCTATGAGTATCTTACCAATAGGATGGGATCAATTGTGACCCAGAAAAAATCAGAAGCCACACAGAATGGGCCGAGAGGCCGAGGACTGCAAAACATGGGATAAGTTGATCCAATGTTTTGGTGACATCTCCCTTCATTCTTTTGCACTCAGGTGAGAACCAAAGGATGGCGTCAGAATGACACGTTAGATAAATCTTGGGATACGAAGAACTAACTATTCATTAAAAGCAAAACTTTTCTTGTCTCAGGTACTTCAAGAAACCGCAAACTCAAAGTATCCAACAAAGTCAGAAAATCCCTGGAATCGGGACCGTTGGTCCCTGGTGATGCGGGACCCCATCTTAAAATACCAGGGTCATCGATGTGGTAAAGCCAGCAATATGTCAACAATACATATAGTATGTTGTAGTTCTCAATTTGAGACATGGGCTAGTCTCAACCAATCCCCGAGTCCCTGATATTTTCGATCATACCCAGCATATTATGTGTGGCGCCACCCCATGTCACAGCCTGAATCTGCGTCACATTGCCCCGCCAAGCACCGGAAAGTGGTGAACATGGATCTCGGTCGCCGTGGCCAGAGTGTTTTTCAAAAAACACCAAGAGCTATACCGAGTGCTGAAACGCCTATGAAGCTGAGTCTACTTCCACCGGAATCCACTGGTGAAGCTGAGTTCTGACACACTCAAAGCTATTTGAAAAGTAGGAACCAAATAGAACTCTATCTGGTTGGTGGTTGCTGCTAACCCGTCTGAAAAATGATGGAGTTCGTCTTGGGAGTATGAACTTCCCAACTGAATGGAAAGTCATAAAAGTCATGTTCCAAACCACCAACCAGCTATGTTTTAGGTTGAATGTCGTCCTGATGTCCACCAAAAGGCGAATGACGCATACCACTATCCAGTGAAGGAAGCACCCAAGCAATGCTGCAAGGTGCATGGGCAGGTTGTAGAAGAGCGATTCTAAACCCAAGTCCTTGGCTCGGCATCACAATTGGTGGTTTCCCGCCCTAAAAAAACAAAAGTCATTGGGGCTTCAACCAAGGGGATTCAACTTGAATCCATGTACTAAACCCTGGGATGTTGTAGCTTCATGAGCACAAGAGATGTGCCCAAAAAAGGAAAAAAATCAAGCTGCGACTGCGACCCATGGATTTCCATCACGTACTCAGCTTTCCAAATTGTCCAAATACTTTCGGCAACTAGGACATGGCCAGCATTGCTATTTCGGGAGTCTAGCTCTGTCCACACCACGCCAGTGCCAAGTGTCTCGTATTCGTTGATCTCGACCCAAGAGATACGTGGCCAAGCCCGCAATAACCTAAGCATCATGGAAATGGAGCAAAACCTACCTGGTTGGTGGTTTCACCCCCCAAAAGAATTTTAGTCAATGAGGATCATCCCAGATAAAAGTTGAAACAGAAACAAATGAAACCACCAACCAGCTAGAAGTAATTGCTAGTGACTTAACCCCTGAAAAAAATCAATTAATGATAGTTGATTGAGGATGATCATTTCATCTTTTGGATGCAGGGATTGACAATACATGGTGTTTTTGGGGAAGTACATGTTGAACATGGGTGAACCAGCATCAAATGCTTGCAACATAGATCAGCATCCTTGAAATCTTGGCACCTTGCTGTCTTCAAGTTTTTTCCCGGAAATTTAATGCTGCTGAGCTGCATAAAGTACTGCAAAAAGCAAGAGCATGGCAGTAACCAGGGTCCGAAAACCACCAATGAGTCCTGTGCAGGATGGGGCGCATCCATGATATAATTCCGAATTATTCCATTTAATTCTTCAAGGGAGACCGCAGAGTATGGTGGATTTCAATGGATTTCAGGGTTGCTGTTTGGATAGACCCTCGAATAGACTTTAGACGAATGTTGGACCTTCAACGATGGTAATACCTGAGTGACGTGACATTACAAGAAATCTTGTGAAGTCCTCTTGTCTCACCTTGCATGGAAATGCCACTGTTGTTGGATTTGCGATTGAAGTGGAAAGCAATATCTGTCCAAACCCATGTCACAACAAAATCATCCACGTCACTGTCCCATCCCTTTGAGCATCTAACCGCTTTGACACCGAGCCTTTGAGCATCAAACGCAGTTCTTTCATCCAATGAAATCCTGGGTGCTCCAAAAATGGCGAAACCGCAATGGTGGTCCTTCAGAACCCACCCATCCCCATGTGGTCAGACAGTGTCAGCCTTTTCCAGTCAAATTGCGCCTTACCTGGAACGAAAAAAGGAGCGCGAATCCGAGAAAAGTTACTTCCCAAATGTGACCCATTGGAGCGAGCGGGTTGGATAAACATCCCATATCACAAACATCCCGGCGAAACCGCAATGTTGGTTGAGCACCTTTTCAAATAAAAAGTGCGTGGCGTTGTGGCGCCGTGCGCGTTTTATCATTGAACTTGTTATTGATTTTCCCTGGGAAAATGGAGGGATATTTGAGTTGATATGGTATTTGCAGGGTTTTGTGCTCTTGACGTGATGGTCAGCTTTCAGTTTTGCAAGAGTCTTGCAGCCGTCCAAACATGTGCTCAGGGCATGTCCTGTGAGACTCAAAAAGCTTTTGGAAGTTGCATTGTGCCATCTCCATTGCCAAACTCAAATCCCTTGAAGCAATTGAGGATTGCCAGCGCCATTCTTGTGTTCCAAGAACTTCAGATGGCACTGTTGGAAATCTTCCACATTCCATCAATTCCACCGGGCCACTTATGGCCACTTCAGGGTGCCCCGGGCGTTTTTTCTTTTTGATCCGAAAGAATCCCTTGCTATGATTGCAAGCTTCGTGTCCCACATTGTTTTCAGCTGTTAGTTTGGGGTAGGAAGGGGCACCATCTGTGACTATGCAAAATTGCAACCTGTTTTGATGGCTCCAGCGTAGCACCGAGTGCGTGTGCAAGGTAACTTGAACCTTATTGCCCCACGCCACCCCACCCAAACCCCAAAACACATAGACATAAGATGGTTCCAGCGTTGCATCAAGTGCGTGCGAAAAGTAACTTGAACGTTGTTGCCCCACTCCATCCCATTCCATTCCACCCAAACCCCACCCAAACCCCACCGTCAACATTATATGTACATTTTCAAAAGATGACGCAACTACACGCGCGGTTTTCCACCCGCGAAGCAGACATAAATGTCAATTGCGATCATGATCCCAGTGAAGTCCGGATGTGAAAAGCCAAAAAGCAGCCCGAAGCCACAAACCAGTGATTGGTTGTATCCGAATTTCATGGCTTGGACACGGTGTTTTTTTAAACAAACAACATTTTGCTTGGTGAATTCCACTATTTTGCTGGTTGACTCGCCATTTTGCTTGACTAAAACATCCCCTCTTGAGTTGATCAAATGAAAATTCGTGCTGGTGCTGCCATTCTTTCGATGATGAAACATCACAATTTATATATATATATATGTGTGTGTGTGTTCAATCCTTAAGCCTCAGATTTGTTAGTGAAATCCATATTTATCTTGGTGAACTTTGGGAAATCCACACTTTTCCTTCGTGGAATCCCACTTTCTCTTGTATAAATCCAGAGTTTTGTTGCTTGAATCACCAGGAATATCATGAATCACCTATTTTTTGAACCAGGTCCGTATTTTGGGTTCAACCCCATCCCGCCCAGGTCAGCGCTGAGCAGCTGAAGACCTTCATGATGCGCGTCACCCGCACCAGCCGAGACATGCGCAACAAAGTGGAGATGGCCACTGTCTTGGCGAACATGGAGAGAGACCACGTTCGCCAAGGGGATCGGCGAAAAATCGTTCGTGGAGAGTTTCAAATTTCAAATTTACCGGGGTGAACTATGACTATGACATGCTACGACGAATTCTTGTTGATTTGTCTTTACTTTTCTTGGCGCCAATTCAAACCAAGTCTGGGATACAAATTGCTTGGGTACAGTGTGATGGGTACCTTGAAAACTGGAGAGTTTGACCAGCAAATATGCCAGAAATATACCATTCATATGCGAAGAAACCGATAAACCATTCAATATGGAGATGCACCTTCTAACAGTTTCAACTGGTAATAAACGCATTGAAACCATTTGTCCTGAATCAATCAGGATCTTTCCAGTCAGGTTTGCCTGAGGGTAGAACCAAGAGTGAATGTGACTGCAAAGGAATTTGGAGGGATGCCATCAACAACAACCTCTAGGTTTTGCAAGAAATAGCCCGCTTGGTGGCGGATTCTCTTGCACAAGGTGCTTGGTAAGTCAATATATTAGCGTAATATATGTATACCGTGTATATGTATTATAATATACATATGTATATATATATACACATACACACCTAATTCTACTTGTACATGCATTACATACCATTTACTGAGTATGCAAGCGTTTTCTTTTATCCCACCAGCCCGGGGCAAACCAAAAGAAGGTTTGCCCCAATGCTGCCAAAAGTCGGAGTCTTCACCACCCACAAGCTCCAACCTCACAATCTGGAGGCTTCCCATGCGAACCATGAAAAAAACAATGGCGTTCAATGGCATTCAATGTGCAATAGCCGACGCTTTTGTGGTCGGAAAAGTCCGACCCAAAATTGTTCGGCACATCGTTGGCTTGAATGTTCCCAAACATCCACATGTGGAACGATGTGGCTGCGATTCACATTGATCCGTTCCGTACCCCGTGTTTGAATCGAAACCTTTGCATCTCTTTGGACATTTCTAGGACATTTATGGACAATCAGTCATCTTTTTTGGGTTCACTGTTGCAATACGCGGCCCTTTCCCAATAAACCAACAAACCTACAGTAGTATTTCATGAAGCACCGCGCAGTCAATGACACCAAGGGGCATAAGGTCGGAGACGGCCGCGCCCATGAAAAACATGTCAAAAAAGTTCCACCATCTGCGGGCACAAGAGACATGGCATGTAAACTACTCAGTTTGCAGAACATTTTCTATATTGATCTTGCAAAATAAGGTTTATCCAAATTGTGCATGAAACTACTGAAAAATGGGTTATCTAAAGAGGGATAGCACATACATACATTCCATTCCATTGCCTTGCCTGACCCTGCATTCCACTAACCTATCGAGGCCTGGACATTGAGGGGGATATTTTTTTTAGCTAGCGCTCAAAGAGCAAACTGCAAACTCTATGGTATATTTGTTTTAATAACATCTCCAAGCTTGGGGTACCACTGTTTCCCCAACATGTTCAGAGAACTTTGGGCCTTTTTGAAAGTAGAGAATTTTCTTCCTGTTTATCACATCTTCACCCCGTCCTTTCGTCTCCGCGGAAGTGCTCATAGCATCCAGATACGAGGACACGGAGGAAGAACTCAAGAACCAAGAAAATAGCAAAGGCCTCAGATCGTCAAATACAGGTTGACTTCGTTGTCATCGTCGTTATCGTTGTTGTGATCATGATCATGATCATGATGATGATGATCATCACCATAATCATCATCAGCAAGAGCAACAAAAGAACAAGGAGAAGAACAAGAATAACAAGAGAAACATCACCAGCACCAACAGCAACACCCAACTCACCCAACTCACCCAACTCACCCAACCCACCAAACCCACCAACCCAGCAAAGAAACAAAGAAACAACGAAACGAAAAAGAAACAGAAAAGGAGAAAGAAAGCAAGACAGACAGAAAAAAACAAGGACAGGGACAAGAATTATAACAAGCGCACAAACAAGAAGAAGAAGAAGAAGAAAAAGAAGAATACAAATAAGAAAAGGACTAATAATGGGAAGAAGAAGAATAAGAAGAAAAATAAGAAGAAGAAAAAAGTAGGGAGAAGACGAAGAAAAATAAAACTGAGAATAAGAATAAGAAAAGGACAAATAATGGGAATAAGAAGACAAATAAGGAGAAGAAGAAGAAGAATCTGCCGGCTTGCCGGCGTGTTTTGTGGATGTTCCTGTTACTGTTGTTGTTGTGTTCTTAGTTTTTCCTCTTGGCGCGGATTTTTACGACCTCCCCCCCCCCTTCCCCCCCCGCTTCATTTCATATTGCTTTATATCATCTCATATGTTGCTCCTCCTCCTTCCTGCGGCCCGTCGTGGCTTCCTGGTTCGTCTGCGTCTCAGGCTGTGCTCCTGCTCCATGCCCTCTATGTGTCCCTTGGTTGCCTCCTCTGCGTTTGGCCTGCCTTTTCTGATCTGTATGCTCCCCTTGCCTTTTGCTTCCCTTTCTTCTTGTCCTGATGCTTGCGGTCTCCTTTTCTTGTCTCATGTTCCTTGCCTGCTTTCTCTGTTTTGCCTTTTGCCATTCGTTGAAGTTGGCCCCGCGCTTCGCCCACGCATTGTTTTTTGTTTCACGTTTCACGCGCTAGGGAAAGTCCAGGTACATATCTAAAGATATCTGTGTCTATATGTATATATGTGCATATGTAAATAAAACTATAATTATATGGTTTGGTCACGCACTGTCCTGGATGCTATTCGGCTCTTCTGCTATTTTTGCTCTTCAGCTGATATACTTTCATTTCATATACTGCGTATTATCACATCATGTATCACGTCTAAAACCTCGCACCACAGACCTGATCTCAGACATATCCAAATTGAAACCACTTGATGTGTTTCAACAAGTAACAACACACTTTCATCCATTTCCATTGGAAAGGCTTTTGAGCAAACCTACTGTTTATTCTGCCACGGTTTGTGTCTCAACTTGCGCAGCCTCAGCAAAATCAAGATGCATAATGCACAAGCTGGTCACAACACCGTGCACGTCTCAAATGCCAATCGAAGAGAATATTCCAAGCGAAATGTTCATGTGTTTTCGCTGATGCAGTACGGCGCCACGCTGCCCCTCTTTTTGCTCAGCACGTGGCCACTTCCAGCCTTTCCCTGCAGTTCCGTGAAGCGTGGAGGGTGTTTCAGCACTATTTGCAGAAAACACGCTTCTCATTAGCCACCGGCCCCCCGAGGCGTACGCCCCAGGGATGGAGGCCAAACCTGCCGGTCCGCCCCAAAGATAGATCAAGGCTGCAGCACGACACACCCTCGTACAACCATGCCTCCGGACTATCGACAAATGTGCCAAACCCCTTTTCTAATCTACTAATCGGTAGTCTCCTGCATGCATACTCTGTACCATGTTTCCATGCACTAGCTACCTTTCAAAGCAACATGTGCCTTTCGTGCGATTAGTTGACCCTCATTGCCTTGCCACATCTCCTGCGAGCCCCTGCGGGAAACCAGAACGGCATCACGTTGAAGCATGTGACAGGTGAGCCGGCGGAACACGCCAACGGCGGTTAAATAATAAGAATAAGAAAAGACAAGCTAAGGAGAAAAATAACATGAAGAAGATGAAGAAGAAGATGACACCTGATAAATAAGTCACTGCAAATTCTTGAAGCCAGGACCCCAAAGCCAGTTCACCCTTGAAACCACAGGGTTCTCACCTGGCCAGAATCCAGCAGCAATGATCTGTCCACCCACCCCAACAATACTAGCGAATTGGCGATCATCGTTTCAAGTAGGTAACACAAACACATCGAAACCTTCAATAGTGATGCAGATACTATGTGCTCTACTGGGCACTGTTCGCTTGAAAACCATGCCCGCCCTGATGCCAACTACATGGAACAGGCTCAGATTCAAACCTATACTGAAAGGGAATCTGCATTCCACTTGGAGTGCAGAATTGGGCAAAACCGTTTTTTTTTGTTGCGGGATAATTGATGAGAAACAAAAACGGCTTCATTAGGCTGAAAGGAGCTTTCCAAGACCAATTTTAGCCCGTGTCTACGAATTATTACTTGATTTGATCAGTTCCTCCAACCAAGATCCCCTACTTCGGCTGCATTTTGTGCCGAGAAACCATCTCAAACCACCACCAGCCGGGCCAGCCATAATTATTGGGGTCACTCTGGATGCCAATCCTCACACCAGGCTCGGTTCGGCTCCGTCACTTGGATGAGAAGCTGCATCTGACACATTCCGATGCTCACCGCACTGAAGTGGCGGAAAAACCCCAGTTGCAACTGGACTAATATGCTAAAGCCAATTTAAACATATACCCAAGTCACCATATGTATGGATTCCAAAACAAACGCCTCCAGTCATAGTATACAGGTTTATTGTATGGCATTGGGTTCCCACATGAACCGTATCGGATAGAGAATTGGCTATATAAGATCTAATTATCTTAACCATGGTTATCAATATCTATAACCATAAAAACATACCTAAGATAACCCCGAGTATAAGTAATTAGACCTTATATTGAATACCCATATTTTCTATTATTATATTGGTAACCAGTGGATCTAATTATAACCATATCTAACCATGGTTAATATCTGATGGGTATTAGCCATGCTTCATCTGGCCACGGATGATCCACTGATGATCCACTGGTCATCCACCGAGATTCATGAAGGCATTCGCCAAGATCATGAAGAACACCACCGGCTCCTCACAGCCGAAAATGGCCATAGCTGGTGGGTTCCTCCGAAAAAAATCGCATATTTAACACCTATGAAATGTTGAGAAACTATGAAGTTTCACCTATAAACATCTGTGAACACCTATGAAATGTTGAGAAACTAAGAAGTTTCCACCTATAAACATCTGTGAACACCTATGAAATGTTGAGAAACTATGAAGTTTCCACCTATAAACATCTGTGAACACCTATGAAATGTTGAGAAACTATGAAGTTTCCACCTTTAAACATCTGTGATCACCTATGAAATGTTGAGAAACTATGACGTTTCACTTATAAACATCTGTGAACATCACTGAACATCTACGAAATGTTGACAAACTACTATGAGAACCTATTATTCCAATCTATTTTACAGCAATATCATGAGCCACTTTTCGGAGACTTGATTAAACGCATGTCCCACGTGTTGTCGCATGGTGAGAGGACAGCCCAACCAGCATGGCTGGCAAGTAGTGTACAACTTTGGGGAGACCAGTGGTTAAACCAGTGGATACCCCTTACTTGACACCCCAGAGGATTGTTTGAGTTTATGAGAGGATCTCCAGCCGTCTCGAGCAGATTGGTGTAGGGTCTCTATGGGTCTCTATGTTGTCATCTTGACTGACCTGCCAGGTCGTCGTTAAAGCTACTGTAGGTACTCTGGTTTCAACATCAACATCCGAATTCCCTGGAGCTTCCTGCAGAATTTCCTGTAATTTCCCTGTTGAAGAATGTGTTCTTTCTTGTAATTGTACTTGCAGCATCTTGCATCAACAAAAAATTGGGGGTGCCTATAAAATGCATGACTTCATTTTCTTTCAAATGGATATTCAACCCTGCATTTTGCATGGACAGGGCTGGTTAAAATCTTTTTATATTTCAATGGCCCAATGTTCGTGACTCGAATGACATGTGTTTACTGCTTGACTCACAAATTCATTGATGAAAGATGGTTGAATCCCATTTTCATTGCTCAAATCCCCATTCCTACAAGCTGAAACACCCCAAACGATAGCTAAGTGTTCACTTTTACTGTAACTTCGTGAACTGTCGCATGTTTATGGAGGATATCACATGATATAAATATATATATATATACATACACACTACTACTATTAATGGGGGTTGTAAAACATGATATACATGGGGTTATGACTCTACTAACTATATAATACCATATACTATACATATATAACATGAAGCAACTGACATTGTTTTTTTTTGAATCATACTATATACATCTACATACCGTATATATATAGTATAATACTTTAACTATACTAACTATATAGAATGTTCATGGATATTTTTGAAGCAACTGACATCCAGCTGGGGGGCCGGCCCCATCCCTATCCCCGCTCCATGTAGGCCAGGACATCCAACTTGTCCGGGGGAGCTGCCAGGTCATTGATGCGAACCTCGTGAAAAGCGGGGCTGGCTAAAAGCCATGCTTGGAGGTTCATAGGTAAACCTATATATTTACTGGATATATATATATATGTATATACATATATGTGTATATACATACAAATATGTATATAATTGTGTATATATAAAATATATACATGTGTATGAGTTACTATGATGAGTTAATATTCATTATATCGAAGCACTTTGAATCATTAAATCATTGAATCATGGCGAATTCGATGTTAACTTGGCACATATCAGCATTTCTGTAGAACAAGTTTCGCTTCAGCTGGAGCTTCCGTTAGCAGGTGGACGTTGGGTTTTCCAGGGGAGAGTTTGGTGTTTCCTCCCAATTTCTCCTGTGAACCATCTTAAAATAATTGGTTCTAGGAGCACTCTTGCTGCGCTTTAGGTAGCAATCTCCTTCTCACAGGGTCGTGCACAGACCCCACACGACTTGAAGTCAGGTCACCGAGATAGGGTCAAAAGCCTGCTACAGTGGTTTCACATTCTGAACATTAACCGAATTGACGACCAGTTTGGATCTTCATCGCAGCCAAATCTTGCAAAAGGCTCACTATCTCACACACATCCTTCATTGTCTTGCAAAATGATCCCAACTTCATTGTCTTCTGAAGGAGCAACATATTCAGACCGGTTCTTCAAAACTCCCGGTTGAGTCAGGTTGATGAGGATGGGGGTCAATACGTTTTTCTGAACATCCACAACTACCAGCCCAAGGTATGGGTCAAAATTGGGCACCCCAGTAATTGGATAGACAACAGTGCAGATATACCAAAATGTGGCCACCCCGGGTCTCAAATTTTGAGCCACAGCCTGTCTCAAAATGGGGGATACTGCAGATACCCCGTGCCATCCAGCGGTTAAGTTTTGAAGATTTAGATTCCATAAATGTCGGTTGATATCATTTGATGTTTATCGATAAAGTATGTGTATATATGTGTGTATATATGTACATATATATATATATATACTGTACACGCCCCATCCCCGGACCCCTACGCCCCCCTTTCGCCCCCCACCATGTACATATACATATACATACATATATATATATATATAAATAGAAATCTCTCTCTCTCTCTATATACATATACGGGTATTTATATGTATATATATATATATATCTCAATAAAATCAATCATAAATAAAATAAAAACTAATAAATAAATAACAGTATAAATAATATATATATAGATATATACATACATGCGTATGGATACATATTATCATATTATGGAGGTTTTCTAGAATGGGTGTACAGTGAAACACTCATGATGACTTGGGGATCCCCCATTCTCGGACACCTCCATGGCCGGGCCGTTGCTGCCCAGCCACAAAGGTGAGTTCGGCCACCAATCGGTTGGTGTCGCCGGCCAGCAGGATTTCCTTCACCGCCTTGGCGGTCCATCCCGCAGGGTGGCTTAAAAGAAACAGTTTATCATAGTTTATCTGAAGATTTGTTTGGTACTTATAACTTATATATACTTATATCATCTTATATCCAATTTTGACATCTTTTTTTGATTTTCGTTTTTGAAACACTATTTTGGCGGTCAAAACACTGGTGTTCCTGGATGTTCATCAGATGCTCCGACAGCTGACCCATTGCCACGAATATATTTCGGAATGTCCTTTTTCAAATGCCGCTTCAATCCTACGGTCCTACTTTTTATCCACAGCAGAATCACAGAGGCAATCCGAGCATGGAGAAAACATGGAGAAAACTGGCCATTTTCGATTCCCGAAGTTTGCGAAATCAGCCGCCCTCAGGCGATCAGCCGTGACTTTGCAGTCGCGAAAAGCCCAAGGGGATCTGCCTGGAATTGCACCATCAACTTTGGCGAAGTGAAGATCCGCTTGTTCACTTCCTGCGACTCTCCAAGGATGGATGGATGATTTTTGGAATGGCAACTGTACAACCCCCCTCCAATCAGCGAGTTTGATAAATACCCCTATGCATTGTTGTGTTTATTTGATACAGTATCCCATTCTGGCACCTCCCTCAACTTTGGAAAAGTTACTTTTGCAAACCTTGTTAGCATATGTTAGCATGCCATGTCGGTTTTCACACTTCACTACCAGTAAGATTAGTTGTGCTTAAGTGCCCAAAGAAAATACCAGATATGCTCCCTATCGATTCCCCAAATTCGTCCAAATTTTAGATTTTCCAATTGGACAAACACACAAATCACAACTTTCTCGCAAAGTAGACTTAGTGTTTCTTCATACTGCTCCAACTTAAACATACTAATAGCACCAAGGTACTCAACTTCCCAATGAAACTCCACCGGTCCTGTTCGTCCATGGAAAAGGCCTCCACCAAGGCGCGAAACCTCGATAAAACTGTGGAAACTGGGACTTTGGCCATGGCTGAAAACCAAGAAGAAAATTAGATTTATGGAGGGATTTATAATGGGATCTATGATAAGTTGGATGAATTTCCAATATTTTAGCCGGAACTTATTTTGTGGCTATCTCTGGGTCATGAAGCAAGTTAGAGCTCATTGGTGCGGGCTGCACCAAAACCCCCGATGGTTAGATCTCTGGGTCTTCTTTGAGAATAGGGTAACCGAAAATCCCATAGTTTATCATAATTTTCCCCATATGTTCCCTATTTTGCAAAGCATGTGTTTTTTGCTATTATCCCAGGTTCAGACATACCCAACTATCTTACTGTTGGTTATATATAGTTATAGTTATATATATATATATATAGACATACATAAATATATATAAAATTACGATATATCCCATGATATCCCATGATATCCCCATTAAAAATCATTACATCTTGGATTTTTCCAATCCCATGACAACCGCCTGGGCTTCGTGACGGCACGACGTTCCAGCTACAGCTGGGCTCCGTGAGTTGAATGCTACCTCCAAACCGCGACCGGAGGATCAAGCACGATGTTTTTTTATGAACGTTTGATGAATGAATAGTTCATGAATATCTTTTGATATTTGATAACTATTTGAGAACTATTTGATGACTATCTTGAAAATGTACGGTATTTGGGTGGATGATCAACAATGTGGAGCCATGCATCTCTAATTTCATAGGCGCCCGTTCCAACCGTTGTGAGAGGCCGTAAATCTGAATATACCTGGTGACCGAATGATGAGGATTTCATGACTTGGCACCTAGCTGTAGCTCCCAACAAAAAAAGTCGCTTGGTGGGCACCCTGGGTCCCAAAAATATGGACATCACTTCAACAATAGGATGGACAAAAAACACATTAAATGAGGTTCACGGCTCATATTTCGCCGCAAGTCAAAATGACATTTCAATGATGTGTATGTCGCACTCAAACCATCGTAATTACATGGGTTTCTACTTGTCGTGTGTTTTCAATGTTTGCAAAAAGTATCATTTTTTATCTTCTGCAAAATGCGAGTAAACTAGTCGGATCTTCACCAAATTTGGTTAGACATGTCACCACCAACGTAGCAACCGTGGCATGCAGACGTGCAACAAACGTAGCATCCGTAGCGTGCAAATGTGCAACCAACGTAGCATTCATAGCATGACATATCTTTGATTCTGTAAGAAGACGCGTCTGTGCGAATGCAAACACAGGACGTTGTTAGCCCCCACCCCACCGCCCCACCCTATGACGTAGCTATGCATCCGAGAGAATACACGCCTATGCGGATGCAACAACAGGACGTTATTAGCCCCCCACCCCACCCCATCATAACCCCTAACATGATTGAAACATGCATATTTTACCAGGGCGAATTATGAGCCGTGGTCCAACTACCTGGCCAGTTGTTGATGAGATCCCCATTGCATGGTGGCTGAACTGGGTCCAATCAAATGTTTGGTGTTGGGCTTCCTCCTTCAAACGGTCAAACGGTCAAACCTGTTTTTCGCTGATCTGAAGATTTTACCTGGTGAACAAAATCTGAAGTCCATAATTTCTTGGTTTCTCTGGACCTCGGGTGAAACCTAGGGATGTCCACATCTCTTATAACCATGAAACCTGTTTAAACAGTTTAAACAGGTTTCACCGTGAAACCTGTTAAACCTGTTTAAACTGATCCACGCCTCGCCCCATCTGCGAGATGCGCCGCGAGGGCTGGGGGCTCGGCCACTGCCACTTGGGCGTCCCATTCTGTGGGCCTCTCCTGAAGGCTGGGAGGATTGAAATCCACCCAAAAACTGGGAATATCATGGGGATATGATGGGATATGACAATTCGAATCAGTTCTAATCTCTCATTTTTTATGGATGATTTACCAATAAAATCTAATGAAACGTTGCATGATGGGAATGCCATCATTTGGGTTTGCTACAAAAAAGGGTACCGCAGATGCTCAGGGAAACAACCATTTCTTTACTGCGATATGAATTCCATTGCTAAGTGACAACACAACCGTATCGCCGTATCGAACCTGTGTAATCATACTATATATATATATGTATTTATGGGAAGAAACACCTAAAACCTCACTTGCTCAACCAGTCAGTTCACCCATTCACCGGCAACCCTGGTTGCAACGCTTGACCAGCGAGCATCGTCTCTTTGCCGAAGAAGGCTCCGGCTCCGCTTCGACCGCGAGAGATGAGTTTCTCCTGGCGGTCGATGCCCCAATTTTCTATCCGCCGCCGGCAAACATGGGGCGAAGAAAAGCAACAAAACTAGACAAAGAACTCATAATAATTAGCAACATGAGAAACAACATAGTAAGTAAGCAACACAAGAAGCCACGTAGGAATACATAGGACATAACATAACAAAAAATACAAGAAACAAGTGGGTACTGGGATGAGAAATAGTAGGCATCAACAACGGGGGAGTGACTGCGAAACGGACAGGAACTTGTTCCCATATTTCCACAAAAACATGCCAGTTTCAGAGGAAAAGACCCAGTCTCAAACCATTTAGTGATTGATTTGTTTTCGGAAGTGGTGAATTGAAGTTTCCTAATCATCCCAAATTGTTTTTCTTACCCTTTGACAACTCAGTTCTTAGTCACGTTTACCTTGTGTCAGATTCTAAATTCAAGACCCAAGCAGATAGAACAATGTTTCCGGGATGGTATAGATGATACTTATCTATATAGATCTATTTCATATTTCCAGGTTTCTCACGTTTCTATCTTTGTCGGCGTTGCTACAGACAAAAAAAAGAACCCAATCTTGGCCCATGCCCTTGCTGATGGTGCTGCTTCGGCCTTGACCCCAGGATATATAGGTCACGAGTCTTTCACCGAGTTGGGCAACATCAAATTGAAGCAAGCGTGAATTGTGGTAGAGATGCAGCCACTGACGTCTCCTTTAAATTTACTAAAACACATTCACACACACATATATATATATATAAATAATCTAATATATATAATAGACAATCTAATATATAATTATATATAATATAAACACTAATATATATATAATAATAATAATAATAAATACATAAATAAATAAATAAACAAATAAATAAATAATGTAATATAAAGATAAAAAATATAATATAAACAATATAAACAACTATAAGTAATATACATAATGTAAATATAATACAAATAACATAAATAATATAAATAATATAATATAAGATACATAGTATCAATAATATTAATTTAATGTTATAATGCAATATAAATATATTATACACATGCATGTATGAAACCACCAATTACTTCAGGAGTGCATGGTGTTTTCAAATTGTGCTTGACCCATCCTGACATGGTGAGATACCCCTTTCAAAGTTGGTTCCACAGCCATCCTAGTGCTCAGGTCATGGATCGCATGGGAAACCGATGCAACGCTACCCCTGAGTCCCTGAGCGAAGGCTCTGCAAAGCCAAGTCTTTCTGTTGAACCCCCAATCAATTCAGATTTGAAGCAGATTGTAACTGGACAACTGGTGGCTGTAAACTTTCCATTCCCTGTGGTAAATCTGCAGCTCCGATCCTTGGCTGTCGGCAGAGACGATTCTTGTTCGAACCTGGCTGGAGAAGGCGAGAATATGGGCTTGTCGGGTACCCAAGTCCACTGGTCAATTATCAATATCCTTATTTTAAGTGACCATTTGTGGGTATACCTCATTTTCGGACACACCCATAAAATCATATCTGGTTGGTGATATATCACATCTATATATCACAATGTACCCAATTTAAGTGGCAGTTTGATGCAATTTGAGAGTGTACATCATTTTCGGACACACCCATATAATTCTGGTTGGTTGTATCTGTATATATAATAATACATATAATTTCCCATTATATCCCATGAACTCACCTTAAACCACCATTTTTGTGAGCTACATTCCCCTATCATTGCGCTGGCTCAAATGTAAAACTCCACGTATCCTTACTCCCCGCATGTCATCCGTCACTGTGACTGTGACGAATGGGGATACCTTGGGACCAGCGACGAACGGCTTGTCTCTTGGGCACCTCCAAAATTTGGGGAGTCACATCAGGAGTACTTCTTGAAACATGGCCTTGATTTTTGAGGCCCACCCAAGAACGTTTGGTACCCACCCAAGAAGGTTTGGTATGTAGGATCTTCCAAGCTTCTTCTCAAGTCTTCCCCCCATTTGACTGATGACTTGAAACCAACCGGTTGTTTTGAAAGAGCAACGTATCGCTTTTGCAGGTTCCCCACCTGATGAATCTGCCAGGGTGCATTAATTCATCGGAGATTGGCTTTATCATCGGATCGGAATGGAAAACCATCAGGGAAATGTTCTTCTCTTAACGGCAAAGTAGGGGATAACACAGTAACACCTGTAAATTACATCTACC